ACCCCTGTTGTAGACAAATGAAGTAGCTCCAACGAACAGAAATCAATTTTCTAACAATTATAACCAACTGGTCCAGTCAAAACCCAACCAAAGATCCATAACATTCTAGTTTTAAAGCTCACGATCTCCCTTTCAAACACACACACACCGCCGTCTTGTGACTAACTGGAAGAAGAGCCATGAGTCACTCTGTGATGCTGATATCAGCGCCACCATTCCCATCAACCCGCTCCCCTGAGGGCCTCGCTGAACGCTCCGCAGGGATCTCAGCAGGAAGGAAGGGAAGGAAGCTGGTGATGTTAAAGAGACACCGTCATCACGCTAAACGAGTCAGGCTTTATGGATCCCCCTCTGACTTTCTGAAAACACAATGTTTCAACGGGAAGAGTTGATAGAAATAGGGCTGTCACTATAAATCAGTTAATCATGTGATAAATTAAAACAATCAATAGTTTCCATTTGCATGATTTATCGTTTCTCTCGTCAGTCTGGTGTTTTGGTCTCAACTAAATCTTTAATTGGAAGAATAATTTTGTTTACAGAGACTTCATAATTTATATTATTTCTTGTTTTATTTATTTATTTTGGATATTTGAAATGTCTTCCAGTTCCAGAGTTAAATGTTGATTAGAATTTAAAGTTTGTTGCATTCTTGGATTATTATTAAGTCATTATCATGATATTACTTGAAATAATATAAATTTACAATATAATATATAAATATCATAATAAATTAATATTTATTGTGATATCACAGTAAATTCTGGGATAATTAATCAAGTGTGCACTAAAGGAATGCTATGTTGTTGCATTTTATACACTAGAATGTTTATTTATTATTTTTTCTAAATTTTGTATTTCATTAGCGTTTAAATTGGTTTTAAATCGTTAAACCTGCAGAATATGCCAATTTTTTTATTCAATTACTTGATTATCCTTTTATGTTTGAGCTTCACTTTTTGAATTATTTTGAATGGTAGTCTAATTTATTACCTGTGCAATGTTTTGCTTCTAAGCAAAGTAAAAAATATATTTAAAAAAAGGTAGCAGTGAGTGTTGAAAGCAGCAAAGTAAGGATGGACATTTTGCATCCATATTCCTAAAGTGAATCCCGTCTGGAGTTCAAGAAGCATCTGCCATCAATGTGTTTACATCCTCAGTCTTCAATATCTGATTATAAATGCTGGTGATAGCAAGCAGAGACAAATATAGAAAGAATTGAACATCAGGAAGGAAAACAGGCAAAGTACTAAAGTGTGTAATAAAATGTTGATAGTTCCGGCACACAGGTTTTATTTTTATCTTTATGCACGAGGAGACACTGTGACTCAGGGACAGCTCTGTGTTTACCACAGATAAAAAGCTGTGAATGCATTTTGACAAAAAAAAAAAAAAAAGATCTTTTCACCTGCAGTACCAGTTATGAACACTAGGAGAAGACTGGTTGTCATAAATCCTGTCTTTCAAATTCATACATACAGCAGTTAAAGTTAAACATTAATCCATATTCAAAGAAAACATAATCATTCAAAATAAGTCCCATCTCATTTTAAAGCAGATATTTGAGTGTCCATTTTGAAAAACAAAGAGACTGCATCCTAATGATGAGCTAAATTTATCACCACTGTATGCTGTCATTTGGCTCATAATACAGTTATCTGTAACATCTCTACACACGTTGCAACGTGACGACATGAGCGCAAGGAAAAAAAACTGATCGCTAACAATGACTAGCATTGGGTTTTGCTGTCAAGTTATCAACAAAACTGCTAAATCTTTACTGTATGCCTGGATTGTTAAAGGAAAAGCCACGCAGAGCTTTGCTACTAATTGTCAACACTATGACAACAAGAAAACACGGTCAGGAAAAGTTAGACTCAAAAATCTGCGAGGGAAAGGGAAGTAGGTCAGATATGCTAGCTTAACTTTGGCAACCTTAAAATGTAGATGTGTTGCACAATTCAGTGTTTCAGTTAAGTGAAAAAATCTATAAACTAAAGCGACCAACACGGCATCGCTCACAGATCATTGGTAGCTTTAAATTAACTGATCTAAATTAACTTGAGCTGGGTCAGCCAATAGCAGTCTGTTAGGAATCCCCACAAAATGGTAAGAAATGTTAAGAATTCTACCAATAACATTGATGCACTGCAAAAACACAAAATCTCACCAAGCAATTTGTAAGATTGCTTGGTAGGCAATCTTACAATTCTAATCTAGTTTCTAGTGTAAATATCTTAGTCCACTTGAAATAAAACTAAAACTGTTTTCATTTAGTTTTAACTGCTTTGGTAGATAACATCCTCAGAGATACAGCAACACACACCAAATCCCCACGTTTCATTGGTTCCCGTCTCACATGACACATTTCTAAATCCGCCTGCAGCCGTCTAAATCCATGTCGATGCCTACGTACGTGTGTGTGTGTGTGTGTGTGTGTGTGCGTGTGTGTGTCAGAGCGGGATTCAGGCTACTGTTTGCATGACGTCAAACCTCCATTCATGAACACCATCCCTGCTCCTCCTGTTAGCGTAGCCGCTAATGTGACACAGTGCATCACGTGGGGGTCCTTACCCCCTTCTCCAACCAATCAGAGCTCAGCGATTAAAGGCACGGGAAACACATGCTACACCTGCACATGTCAGGCTAAAGAGGCTTTGACAGGAAGTTGGATGATGAGCGTCACCCTACGGCGGTTTGGGATACAGACGGCTGGTTGGCACAGTGACGGACACAAAGAGGCAGAAAGGAAAGGAAGAGAAAGTAGAGCCACAAAGACGGAGATACCAACGAATCCCAAACACCAAGAATCAGTTTGATTCCCAGCAGGAGGAGAGACACACACTGCAGCTGACCTGAGAGAGGAGTCAGAGTGTGTGTGTACCAGGCTTTTATATCCTTACAGGAACCTATTTCTGTCTACAATGTGGAGTTATAGGGACCACCGCCCCTTGCAGGGACATTTTCTTGGTCCCCAAGAGGAAAATTGTTGTTTTTGGGTTAGTGGTTAGATGTGTGATGGTTATGGTTAGGCTGTAGAAATGAATGTAAGTCCCCACAAGTGAAGAAAACACAACTAGTGTGCAGAAGATGTCTGTATGACGGTGATGTGTCTGAGCTGCAGGAGGAGGTTCTGCTGCCACTATTGGGAGAATTTAACAAATCCCAGGATGATTCCAGCTTTGCCAGGTCAGAACTGAAGGGCAGGCGACCAATCAGGGGCCTAGTACCCAAAAATACTCCAGTAAGAGTAGAAATACTTGAACGTGGTTTTACTCAAAACGACCCAAGAAATTACTCAAGAGTACAAAAGTGAAAAGTCTACTCAAGTACTGAGTAACTGATCAAATTATCATATATTTAAACATTTCATCATTGGATGGACCATATGTGGAAATTTTGGTATTTCAAAACTAAACTGACAATAATTTTGGTCCTTAATAACAAGTAACAAAAAATGCCAACAGGCCAAATAAAATGTTTCCAAATCAGTTTCTTTCACTAAAAAAACTTCTGAAAGTTTTTTTAGTGAAACAGAAACTGCAGGTTTGAGTCTGGTGAAGTTTTAGTTAAAACATGTTTGTTTTTCATTCAGTGGGAAGAAAATCTTGAGAAATACTTATTAATAAAATTACTCAAGTAAAAGCAAAATGTACATTGTAAAAGAAAAAGTACATTTTTACGTAATTTTCTTTCCATAAAAGTTACTCAAGTAAATCTGAGTAAATGTAACTGGTTACAACCCAATCTTGGAGGTGATAACGCAGCAACTTTCTTATATATTTAGCAACATTTCAGACAAAAACTGTTGGTATTGGCCAAAACAGGTCAGACGTTTTAAAGGTCGGTAATCGGAGATCAGTCAGCACCGCTGAATGAAGCTCAAACATTTTCAAAATATTTTAAGTTTTCCAGCACCACAAATAAAACACAAAGACAGGGAAGACAAAAAAGACTATTTCAATTTACCATCATAATATCTTGTGATGACATACTATATTCTACAAGGTAAACTGAAATGTAACAAAATATTAAGTTTTGAGAAGATATTTGATTCTTATAGTAACCGACTAACCTGAAGCAAGAGAAGTTTGGTCTGTTTAAGTATTAAACAAATAAAATATATACTCATCCTCTGATACGCAACAGAAATCAGGCACTTTTCAGACCTTGAAAAATTTGAATTTCAATCATTTTTGAGGATTTTAAAACAGCAGATGTCAAGTACAGGGGGTTTGTGGTTATTTGATGCACAAACACACACACACACACACACACACACACACACACAAACACACACACACATACACACACACACACACACACACACACACACACACACACACACACACACACACACACACACACACTGCTCCAGCTCTGACTGGAGGTAAACAACAGCCACTCCCCCCTCTCCCTGAGCCAACCATAGCTGCACAGCACGCAGCAGCAGGAGGAGGAGGCTGATGGAGGAAGAGGAGATGAGTTGCTCTAATTTCTTGATGTGTGCATGCGTGAGCTTGCGTGCTCAGCCTCCCTAAGCGCCACACACCACCACTCCCCGCTGTATATTTGCTAAATTTCCCCCAGGAATGAAATAAAAAGAGCATGCACATCCCTCTGCTGCTGCAAAACGTTCAGCTGCCTCCTCTTCCTCCTGCTGCTTCTCTCCACGCAACTTTCATCATGCGTGCATGAGTCTAGACATGCGTGGCTTGTTTTAAACGCACATTTCGCGCTGCAGCGACTGTAAAATAAAACCAACTGGGACATTCTCCAGCAGTTTACCTGCCTGCTGGATTCCTCGTTTCATTTCCCCGCAAAGCCTCAGATAAAATGCATTTCCGCGTCCAAAACCTGCCAAAGTGCGCACACAGCCGCCGGCCTAGCGCTGCCAGAGCGCAGCGAAGTGGACTCCAGAGGTCCTGAACGCAACACGGGAGCCCTGAACGCAGCTCGCATCCATTTTAAAGGCGTGAATAAATAAATGCTTTCCGTACCTTGGTAGGAGTCAGCTTTGGGTTCTCAGACGTCCTTAGTCCTGGATTAGATCAGATTTAGGAGATCATCTGGAGCAGGCACATGTAGTTTACCAGCAGAGGGTTGGTGCTGCTAAACATCCCCCCTTACACACACACACACACACATCCACACACACACACACACACACACACACCGGACACTTAAACCACGCAGAGTGACAGGACTGTCCCTCTTCTCCCGGCCTCCCCTCCCCTCTGCACTGCGTGTTGACAGCGCGTCAAAGGCAGGAGTCCGAATCCAAAATGTGTAAAATCCCACTGCTGAACACAAACCCGGAGAGAAAAGTGGCGAGCAGTCAGTAGGAAACCAAACGCAGCGCTACCGCCGCCGTGCCAGGCTCCGAGATGCGCGCAACATGGAAAGCATGTCGCATTTTGCAAAGAAATAAATAAAAATAGCAGCCGAAACGTGGAGGAGTCCCAATCCGACTGTTTTCCTCCTTGCGGGAGGAGCAGAAGGAGGCTGGAAGCAGAGGAAGGAGGGTGGCTGAACCAAAAAAATAAAAAACGGGGATATAGTTCCACAGGATGAGTCAGAAAAAACACCGCACGCCAGTAACGCAACGGTGCTGGTTGAGAAATAAAACCCAGAACTGAGCCCGTGTCCAGTCGCTCCTCCGGCCGGTGAATGCCTGCAACACCGCGCTGCAAAAAAACAGATGCACAGGCGAGTCTGGAGCTGCAAACAGCACAGAGGAGATTTTTAAAATAATCAAAGACCGACAACAACACAGACAGGAAGTCAGGAAAAAATCCGATCTCATCATCTGCTTGAAAACTATTTTGGCGCCATATTTATGGCGTACTTTCAATTCACGGTTACAGAAAACTGTACTTCCTACTCCGATAAATGTGAAGTTACAGCGCCCCCGTGAGGACAGGGTGGATACTGAAGCTTCACCTGCCGGTTTGATGAAGCATTTCTGAATATGAAAGAATCGAAATATTCATTATCCTGACGATTAAAGAACAAAAAATGTTTACATTTTTCGCGTTTTTTAATTTCAACACTTTAGTTTTTTATGCAATATTAGAAATTTTAAATAATGCTTTATTTATTTGCAGTGAATGCAGCTAAAAACAAGGCTCATTCATTTTCCAAACAGTAACATTCAAGAACTTTTCAAACATTTTTAAGATCAGTTTTCAAACTTCCAGCTCCACACTTTGGAGATCAAAACAATACAAAAAAAACCCTAAAAACCAGATTTGATTCGCTATTATCCATCATTTATTACCATTATTAGTAATATCTTGTGATAGTAACATACATTATACAGCAACTAAAACAGCTGTTCTTTAACCATGGCTGGCATTGCTGTTAGCCGTCAACGTAATGCGCTACATCTTAAATGTGCGCCTGATATTTGAAGAAAAATGGATACATTGCTTTGCTGCTAATTGTCAACACTAAGACAATTAGATAACAAGGAAAAATACATAGAGGGAGAAGGGAGTAGGCCAACTGTGCTAGCTTGACTATGACAACCTTAACATGTAGATGTGCTGCAGAATTTGGTGTATTTCACTTCAGTTTAAAAATGAAAAAAAGGCGACCCAAACACCAACTCTGACAGACGATTATTAGAGAAGGTGTTTAAATTAGCTAATGTTCCATCGTTAGATTTTTGGTGTTGAATCCTGATAGTTAGTGGAGTTGTTGTCAACCAGTTGCTATAGAAACGAGTTTGTGTGTTGTGCAGCTGATACAGAGAGCAAGAAAAACTTTGTTTTTAGTTTTTCTTCAATGGTTTTTCTGTTATTTTTCCCTTTGCTCTGCTGTACTAAATTAATAACAGCTTAATCTCCAGGTTTCATTTAGGAAACAGTTTGACCGCAGTAGCTCCGCTACGGATGGAAAAAAACATCCAGTTTTGTGCTCAAGCGCAAAATTTTCAGATGTAAACAATGACATGAAACGGGTTTATATTAGAAAACTACAAAAATCTGCAGAGGCTTGATACTTCAATAAACAATGCATGCATCACATCAGAGCGCGTAAGGGAGACGGTCGGAGGGTGTCTCCTGATGGGACGCTGTTTCTGCCTCCAGGCGAAAAACAAATGAGATGGTGCCGTTTCATTTGAATGGCTGCCAGAGAAATCCCTCCTCCACGTCCTTCACCGTCTCATTTCACTTTGAGCAAAACAGCAGCACACGCAGTTTTTCACTTCCTCCTGCATCTCTCCTCTGTCTGACACCTTGTGCAGCTGAAAGGAGCTTTCAGAATCTCACATCTATCTGGATAAGCAGGTCCACGGCTGCTTATCCAGGCCTGGAACCGCTTAGGAACCACTTAGGGACCGCTTAGGGACCGGTTCGGTTCGTTTAGGGACCAAAGTTGTAACATTTGTTAAATTTTCAGGTGTTGCAGTTTAGTTTCACACTACACTGAGTGTGAAGCACTCAGAATATTAGGCACATAATAAGAAGAAATAATAAAATATAATATTTTAACTTTACTCTTGTATTGTGTCAACCTTCTTCTCATGAGTTTATTTTTGTAATATTATGACTTATAGTAATTTTATGAATGTGTTCTTGTTATTTAAGTTTCTATTTTCTTAGCCTGGCCGTAATTCTCCGTCATGTGAACCAACCAAACTCTTTGAGCAACCTGTTCCCCTCCTGGCCTGTGGGGCACTGCACCAAGAACCACTGAATTAAACAACACAAAAACCTCTGAAGACACTGAGCACAACTTCCTTCTTCACCAAATGGAAACATGATCAATTAAAACTAATTCAATAATTTCCATTTGCATGATTGATCGTTTTTTCTTTCTACCAAAAACTGGATGATAAAATTTTAAGTTTGGTCTTTTGGTCTAAAGTAAAACTTTTTTTGAAGGATAGTTTTGTTTACAGAGACCAGAGAATTCATCTGTTCTGTTTTTTGTTTATTTATTTTGGATATTTAAAATCTCTTCCAGTTTCAATGTTAGAATTTAAAGTTTATTTATCATTGAGAATGTCTTCTTACATTGTTATTATGTCATTGTTACCGTTGCGTTACTTTCAGAGTTGGGTAGTAACTAGTTACATTTACTCAGTTGCTTTTACTTGAGCACCTTTTAGGAGTATTAATTTTTTTGGACGACTAATTTTTATTTTTACTTGAGTAACAATATGTTGAAGTAATGATACTTTACATAATACATTCTTTCAGTATTTTACCCTCCTCTCATTATTTGAAAATAGTTTCAAAACAACAATTTTATTGTTTATCACATTAAGTTCAAGGACAATTTATCGTCCAACAGAGATTGAAATCCTTGAGCAAAAACCTGCTTATAGATTTTAATGACGTTCTTAAGAAATGTGTTTTTATATTGTTTTATTCAAACGTTTGATGATCACATCTGCGTTTTCTTGGCCGACTGAACGTGTTTTCCCGTTTCCTCCTAAGTCAGCGTTCATCAGGTGACTCATCAGAAAACCGCCCAGAGAGGATTATTTCAGCATCAGGAGATATTTCAGGGTGAGAAACGATAGTCGTAAACTTAATGGGTCGGTTCTCTCAATAAAGCAGCGGCTTGTATGACTTGGAAGCGGTCCAAAACATGCTGCACAAAGAAGTGCCTGCTGGAGGGTTTTTCTGGGGTAATTTAAGAAGCTCAGTTCCTATAGGTGCTTTTATCGTGTTTTAAAACTTTGTGGTGTGAGAGTGGATTGGATATCCAGAGATCAGGGCTCAGAGACGTAAAATCACATTTCACGAGTAAAATCTTTTTTTTTTCATACCAGATCAGATTTTAATACTTCTTAGGTCTTGCTGTTTTTCTAAGTAAAAATTACATTTATAAAAAACATCTTCAAAAAGCACATTTTATTTCAGTCATCCCTGATAATTTTTGATTTATTACAAGAACATGGTCATTATATTACCAGAATAAAGAAACAATTTTACCAGAAAGAAAAAAATAAGTAATTTTAAAAAGAAAAAGGCTGGATGTTTTTTTTTTTGGTTATTTTTTTCTCTTAAAAGTACAACTTAATTCTCCTCATATTATGACTTTATTTTGATAATATTAAAACATTCTTCTCATACTAATTCAACTTTATTTTCATATTACTGTGATTCAAAAACGTGTCAAGATATTTCATATCAATCAATATCAGGCTCTGTGGTCACATATGGTCACTCCAAATCCAGTGTACTTTACTGTGTGTAGTGCATCATTGTGGCATATCGTGTTAAAATTTCCGATCTATGCATTTCTGTTTGATCAGGTGTTTTATTTTCCTGTTTGATCAAGTGTTTTATTGTCCTGTTTGATCAGGTGTTTTATTTTCCTGTTTGATCAGGTGTTTTATTTTCCTGTTTGATCAGGTGTTTTATTTTCCTGTTTGATCAAGTGTTTTATTGTCCTGTTTGATCAGGTGTTTTATTTTCCTGTTTGATCAGGTGTTTTATTTTCCTGTTTGATCAGTGTTTTATTTTCCTGTTTGATCAGGTGTTTTATTTTCCTGTTTGATCAGGTGTTTTATTTTCCTGTTTGATCAGGTGTTTATTTTCCTGTTTGATCAAGTGTTTTATTTTCCTGTTTGATCAGGTGTTTTATTGTCCTGTTTGATCAGGTGTTTTATTTTCCTGTTTGATCAGGTGTTTTATTTTCCTGTTTGATCAGGTGTTTTATTTTCCTGTTTGATCAGGTGTTTTATTTCCCTGTTTGATCAGGTGTTTTATTTTCCTGTTTGATCAGGTGTTTTATTTCCCTGTTTGATCAGGTGTTTTATTTTCCTGTTTGATCAGGTGTTTTATTTTCCTGTTTGATCAGGTGTTTATTTTCCTGTTTGATCAGGTGTTTTATTTTCCTGTTTGATCAGGTGTTTTATTGTCCTGTTTGATCAGGTGTTTTATTTTCCTGTTTGATCAGGTGTTTTATTTTCCTGTTTGATCAGGTGTTTTATTTTCCTGTTTGATCAGGTGTTTATTTTCCTGTTTGATCAGGTGTTTTATTTTCCTGTTTGATCAGGTGTTTTATTTTCCTGTTTGATCAGGTGTTTTATTTTCCTGTTTGATCAGGTGTTTTATTTTCCTGTTTGATCAGGTGTTTATTTCCCTGTTTGATCAGGTGTTATTTTCCTGTTTGATCAGGTGTTTTATTGTCCTGTTTGATCAGGTGTTTTATTTTCCTGTTTGATCAGGTGTTTTATTTTCCTGTTTGATCAGGTGTTTTATTTCCCTGTTTGATCAGGTGTTTATTGTCCTGTTTGATCAGGTGTTTTATTGTCCTGTTTGATCAGGTGTTTATTTTCCTGTTTGATCAGGTGTTTTATTTTCCTGTTTGATCAGGTGTTTTATTTCCCTGTTTGATCAGTGTTTTATTGTCCTGTTTGATCAGGTGTTTTATTTCCCTGTTTGATCAGGTGTTTTATTTCCTGTTTGATCAGGTGTTTTATTTTCCTGTTTGATCAGGTGTTTTTATTTTCCTGTTTGATCAGGTGTTATTTCCCTGTTTGATCAGGTGTTTTATTTTCCTGTTTGATCAGGTGTTTATTTTCCTGTTTGATCAGGTGTTTTATTTTCCTGTTTGATCAGGTGTTTTATTTTCCTGTTTGATCAGGTGTTTTATTTTCCTGTTTGATCAGGTGTTTATTGTCCTGTTTGATCAGGTGTTTATTTCCCTGTTTGATCAGGTGTTTTATTTCCTGTTTGATCAAGTGTTTTATTGTCCTGTTTGATCAGGTGTTTTATTTCCCTGTTTGATCAGGTGTTTTATTTTCCTGTTTGATCAGGTGTTTTATTTTCCTGTTTGATCAGGTGTTTTATTTTCCTGTTTTATCAGGTGTTTTATTTACCTGTTTGATCAGGTGTTTTATTTTCCTGTTTGATCAGGTGTTTTATTTTCCTGTTTTATCAGGTGTTTTATTTCCTGTTTGATCAAGTGTTTTATTTTCCTGTTTGATCAGGTGTTTTATTTTCCTGTTTGATCAGGTGTTTATTTACCTGTTTGATCAGGTGTTTTATTTTCCTGTTTGATCAGGTGTTTTATTGTCCTGTTTGATCAGGTGTTTTATTTCCCTGTTTGATCAGGTGTTTTATTTTCCTGTTTGATCAGGTGTTTTATTTTCCTGTTTGATCAGGTGTTTTATTTCCCTGTTTGATCAGGTGTTTTATTTTCCTGTTTGATCAGGTGTTTTATTTTCCTGTTTGATCAGGTGTTTTATTTTCCTGTTTTATCAGGTGTTTTATTTTCCTGTTTTATCAGGTGTTTTATTTACCTGTTTGATCAGGTGTTTTATTTTCCTGTTTGATCAAGTGTTTTATTTTCCTGTTTGATCAGGTGTTTTATTTTCCTGTTTGATCAGGTGTTTTATTTTCCTGTTTGATCAGGTGTTTTATTTTCCTGTTTGATCAGGTGTTTTATTTTCCTGTTTTATCAGGTGTTTTATTTACCTGTTTGATCAGGTTTTTATTTTCCTGTTTGATCAGGTGTTTTATTTTCCTGTTTTATCAGGTGTTTTATTTTCCTGTTTGATCAAGTGTTTTATTTTCCTGTTTGATCAGGTGTTTTATTTTCCTGTTTGATCAGGTGTTTTATTTCCCTGTTTGATCAGGTGTTTTATTTTCCTGTTTGATCAGGTGTTTTATTTTCCTGTTTGATCAGGTTTTATTTTCCTGTTTTATCAGGTGTTTTATTTTCCTGTTTTATCAGGTGTTTATTTACCTGTTTGATCAGGTGTTTTATTTTCCTGTTTGATCAAGTGTTTTATTTTCCTGTTTGATCAGGTGTTTTATTTTCCTGTTTGATCAGGTGTTTTATTTTCCTGTTTGATCAGGTGTTTTATTTTCCTGTTTGATCAGGTGTTTTATTTTCCTGTTTGATCAGGTGTTTTATTTTCCTGTTTGATCAGGTGTTTTATTGTCCTGTTTGATCAGGTGTTTTATTTCCCTGTTTGATCAGGTGTTTTATTGTCCTGTTTGATCAGGTGTTTTATTTTCCTGTTTGATCAGGTGTTTTATTTTCCTGTTTGATCAGGTGTTTTATTTTCCTGTTTGATCAGGTGTTTTATTTTCCTGTTTGATCAGGTGTTTTATTTTCCTGTTGATCAGGTGTTTTATTTTCCTGTTTGATCAGGTGTTTATTTTCCTGTTTGATCAGGTTTTATTTTCCTGTTGATCAGGTGTTTATTTCCCTGTTTGATCAGGTGTTTTATTTTCCTGTTTGATCAGGTGTTTATTTTCCTGTTTGATCAGGTGTTTATTTTCCTGTTTGATCAGGTGTTTTATTTTCCTGTTTGATCAGGTGTTTTATTGTCCTGTTTGATCAGGTGTTTTATTTTCCTGTTTGATCAGGTGTTTTATTTTCCTGTTTGATCAGGTGTTTTATTTTCCTGTTTGATCAGGTGTTTTATTTTCCTGTTTGATCAGGTGTTTTATTTTCCTGTTTGATCAGGTGTTTATTTTCCTGTTTGATCAGGTGTTTTATTTTCCTGTTTGATCAGGTGTTTTATTTTCCTGTTTGATCAGGTGTTTATTTTCCTGTTTGATCAGGTGTTTTATTTTCCTGTTTGATCAGGTGTTTTATTTTCCTGTTTGATCAGGTGTTTTATTTTCCTGTTTGATCAAGTGTTTTATTGTCCTGTTTGATCAGGTGTTTTATTTTCCTGTTTGATCAGGTTTTATTTTCCTGTTTGATCAGGTGTTTTATTTTCCTGTTTGATCAGGTGTTTTATTGTCCTGTTTGATCAGGTGTTTTATTTTCCTGTTTGATCAGGTGTTTTATTTTCCTGTTTGATCAGGTGTTTTATTTTCCTGTTTGATCAAGTGTTTTATTTTCCTGTTGATCAGGTGTTTTATTTTCCTGTTTGATCAGGTGTTTTATTTCCTGTTTGATCAGGTGTTTTATTGTCCTGTTTGATCAGGTGTTTTATTTTAAGCGGTTATGAGGCTCAGTGGTCAAACCTGAAACTGCTGACCAAGTTACTCAAAACGTTGCTGCTAGGCAATGAAAGAAAGAGTGAGTTGCTAGGTAACCAAAGAGTGAGAGAGTTAGATTATAAATGTATAAAGTTATTACCCAACTTTGGTCACATTTGCATGTTTTTGTTTTTCCTTAACATGCATAAAAACTCTGAGGCAGCATTAATGACTCGAATTGATAATGAAAGACAAAAATGAAAAAAACATATTATACCCTGTTCATCAACATATCTTGCTTATTTTTATTGTCACCTACCTAATTTGCAAATTTGGCCAAAAGTGTTTTTTTCTCCTAAATTATATTTTGGCAAAGCAAACATTTGAAAGGTGACAATATGTCAGTTTGGCGAAGCAGTGTTGTGAGGAGTATTTTTACCGTTTCAGATTTCTTCTGTTTTTTCTAAATAAGTGCCAGAAACTGTTTTGTAGCAGCACAAAGAACATTTCAGCTGTTAGGCCTGATCGACCTAAAGAGGGCAGCAGTGAGACGGATTTAGGTAAATTATTTACACGAATATGTCAAAATTGACACAGAAACATAAAGATTGAACATTAATTAACAAATTTATACAGTTTATCATAAATGTTCAATTGGGGGCGAGTTACACTGTAAGTGTCGGTGAACAAAAACACTTTAAACCAGAATATTATGGCAGACAAAAACATCGATTTAGGTCATTTGTAATTATATAGTACAATAAAAAAAATTATATTTTCTTACTTTGTTTCCATATGAATTCTACCAGTCTCTCTCTGCCATTTGTCTTCAAATAAAAGTCTGAAAATATAACATTAGCTTTGCTTTCCTGAGCTCCAGCTAGCTAACTAGCGCCATGCTAGCCCGCTTTTTCCTTGAACTTTGACATTACGTACGTTACGTACGTACGTGATTACGCTAGCACAGCGTGGGCAAGCTCTGTTCACATTGGCTAGGTTTTTTTTTTTTTTTTTTTTTTTAAAAGGTTTTTTTCACTGGTACTGATTTTATTCACTTTATTATTTATTCATGTTTTTTTTTTTTTATTTAAATGAGAGTGTATCAGAACCTTTTGAAATGTATTATTTTTTAAATATTTCATTAGAAATATTACAGCACTTCCTCCAAATAGTATCTAAAACATTTATTTCCATAGTTGATAACATCAGGTAGCTCTTTTGATTAGCAATATTTGGATAATAAATGTGACATTGATTGAACTAAACTTTTAATGTAGCTTCACTGAGCTTCCACGTGACCTAGAAATTTTTGCAACGTAACAAAGATGAGTAAAATGATTTGCATTTTAATTTATTATTTATTTAATTTATTTTGTTTGAAAGGAATGTGTAACAAGTTAATATACAGAAAATTTCTTCATGAAAAGAAGTAGTTGGAAAAAAATAAAATGATATAATCTGCCCCTTTATTCAAAAGTCTATTTGCTATATTAGACTATCAATCAATGATCCTTATACAACAATAACGTAGTATTAGGGCTATGCTAAGAAAATTAATAATAAAATTAGAAAAATAAAGTCCGAATACGACAAGAATAAAGTCATAATAAGAGAATAAAGTCATAGTATTACTAGAAAAAAGTAAGTATATTACAACTTTATTCTGGTGATAACTCCTTTCCTTTAATATTATGACTTTAGTCTTGGATTATTTGTACTTTATTTTCGTAATGTTATTCTTGTTATTCTCATACAAATTCATTCTCACTATCATGAACTTATTCCAATAATTAAATTTTTTAAATCCTTTTTTCTTAGGATGGCCCTAATACATTGTATTAAACACAAAACAGGCAAACAGATTATCTTTGTAAATTCAATGGATCTTCTGACTTGAAAATTAAAAGTAAACTATCCATAGATTAGTTTCAGAGTGAACTGGTTTTACTGTAAACATTTTAATCCGAGTTAATCGCATAATAAATACATTTGAAGCGATTTGACCTGGCCTCGCTTCATGTTAGATGCTATGTCGCTCCACCACCACAGTGCGGCGCTGCAGGGGGAAATACGTCACCGGAAGTTACGTTTTGTTACTCGAAAAAGATGTCTGCGCTCGCCGTCCAGGATTTCATCCAGCAGAACCGGGCCACCGCCCAGCAGGTGGAGACGTTTCGGGGTTACTGGGAGAGCGACAAGCACTGGGAGGCGCGGAGGGAGTTCATCCTGCGGAACATGAGCGACTTTGAGGCGGATCGGCTGGACCATCTGCTGTCCCTGTCCATGGTGTGGGCCAACAACGTCTTCATGGGCTGCCGGTACGTGAACGCACCACGAGCTGAAATGAACCAAAACTCACATTTACTAGTTCATGTTTTAGGAATGAGCCGAACCAGGTATAAAAGTTATATGATGAAAACTCGGGTTTTAAATAATCGGAGGATTTACACCGGACGTGTAATTGTTGTTGTGACGTCATTACAATTACATTTCAGCCGTCCTCCTCTATTTAGTTTAGTTTCCTCCTTCCCTTATTTGTCCATTTTAATTATATCCCTTCGTGTCCCTCGTTTCCTTTCATCCTTCTTTACATTAATTTATATTCTTTTTTCCAACCAGAGTATCCCAAAGTTTTCTGTTTAAGAAAATGTTAAGTTTTTTTTTTTTTTTTATCACATCAGCATCAAATTATCCCTTTCAGAACTTTCAAACAATCATGCAAACATCTGAGTATCTAGATGAAAGATCACATCTGCTCTTCATAGAAAAAATGTTTCTCATTAAAATTAAGACATTCTGGAAAAATTTCTTCTTTTTTGTAAATATGTCTATGTGCTCGTAATTAATTAAAATCTTGTCTGTGATACTTCAAAGGAGGGATGATTGGAATAAAAGCCCCTTATTGAAAATATTTCTGCTATTTGTAATTTCTTCTTCCACTACTTCTTCTTGTTCTTCAATAAAAAGTGTAGTGTAGAGTGACCCCTTGTGTTTGCCAAGTGCAGTTACAGCACGGCGCTGCTGGACAAGGTGAAGGAAATGGCGGACGGCATCGTGGTGGAGGACGCACCCGTTTTCAAGACCAGAGATGAAATCATCAAAAGTCAGCAGGTCGGTTGCCTTGGAAACGCATCAACCTTTAACCCGCTGTGGGAGGAAATCCTCACCAACTTGTTCTGCTCCTGACAGGGCCGATGACCGGGACCGGCCGATAACCGGGAATCGCTCAAATGTTTACCAACATGGACCAAGTTTTTATGGTTTTTACAAGTTTTTAAAAATCATGTAAAGAAACGGCAGAATCTTCTGGGTGTGGGAGCCTCTCATTTTATCGACTTTACTAGGAACGCACCGATATGAAGTTTTGTTGGATTATTTAATACTGTCGTTATGGCCAATAATGACGGTATTAAATTATTTGTTGTTTTCTTTGGAAAGAAAACAAATATTGGTTAATATCGGCCTGGTTTTATTTACTGATATGTTAAATTAGTAATACTGATGATATATCATGTATCACTAGATTTTACTGCATTCAGTTATGCATAAATATGTACATTTACTGTGAAACTGCATGTTTTATAGTAGAATAAAGAACCTTGTTTGTTTTTTAACTCTGATTTACTTCAAATAACATATTGATGATATTTCCAAGGCAGAAAATCAAAAAAAAGAAAAAAGTGGATAATTTAAAATCGGTAACAGGCAAGTTTGGGAATTTAGATTTAAAATGTAAAATCTTTTTGCAAAGTCAGCTTTTTCTTTAAGTGTGCAGAAGTTTTTACATCAACACATTCAGCTAAATCTGTTAGCTGCTTTATTATGACTTGCTGATAACTTGGTGTTAATTTATGGTATTATTTCAGTAGTTAAAATTTTTCTGCATCTTATTTGAAAGCTTTAAAAGGTAACAAGTGTTTCAGCTACACAGGAAGCTGCAGCAGCCAAAACAGTCTCAGTTACTCTGAACCTAAAAAATGTCAATTTGAAAAACAAAGTTTTTAGCAAAAACTTTGTTAAAATTTCCTTTTCAAAGGGTAAAAATCCAAAGCTCCTATTTGGATCTTTAATGGTAAACATGTTTTATAAAAATACTTGACTGTTGAGCAGGTAAAACTTAAAAAAATAATTTTGGCATTAAATTAGCCAGTTTTGTACAAAGAAATTAACTTGGACCCTAACCCCCAAACTTTGTCATGACCAATACTGCTGAGTCAAATATATTCATCTTGCAGAAAAAACTAAAATCAAGAAAATAAAGTAGATTTTGTTTTGCTGCATTGAAAGAACTGTGTCTAGTTCTCAAAACATACCAAAGAAGTCAAAGAAACTTCTGTCAAAGTCTGAAAAATGTGTTTTATTATGTTTATACAGCATATTATTTTAAGTACATTTGTTTCTCAAAATTTGATAGCATATTCTGTTTACTAGGTGAAATAAGTCACAAGCCACAATATGAGCATCTCTGTTTAAGAAAGGGAGGTTTGTTTCATGTTGGCGGATCGGGTTCAGTCATGACTGTTTGGTTAAGGAGAATTTTGTTTTTCCAAGAAAAAGAAAATAAAAACAAAAAAAGGTACAGACACCAAAAGAAAACATTTAAATCTTCACTGAAGGTAGGTTTGCACAGCATGAAGGTGCAGCAGCTTGTTTTCAAATTAAATTAAAAAGAAAAAAAGAGCATTACTTAATTTTGCTTTTTTTTCCTTAATATTGCAGCCAAGTAGTTTTAATAGAGCAATCAGAAGCATGGACACTTAAATTGTTTTGTTTCGGGAGATAAATTTAAAATTAAAATAAATCTTCCCTCCTGCCTAACCGACTTCCTTTCAATCTGCATTTATTTATGATAAAACATGATGTGGAAGCATCCCACTGCAAAAACACTCAATGTTAAAGTATTTTGGTTTTTAGTACAAATATCTTGGTGCACAAAAAAGACTAAACTAATTAAAAGTAACTTTTCAGCAAAAAAAAAAAAAAAAAAAAAGAAGAAGAAGCTTGTTTTAAGTCAATAATCCAGTGAAATTTACTTGGAGAATAATATTTCCACTGTCAGATTATTTCACTTATAAAACACAGGAAAGATATTTTGTCATAAGTGAAATCTGTCAATGAAACTGAAACTTTTTCATTGATAAGGAATTATTCATGTCAAACCCATCTCTTATGCTGAAAAGTTACATTTAAGCTCGCACACTCAAAGACAAAACTAAGACATTTGCACTAGAAAGTAACACAAAAATACATTTTGTGGTTTGCAGTGCCTCCATTATGCTATTTTACCTGCTTTGATAAACTTGGAGGAAGAAAATTAGAAAAACAGCTCTGCAAAATAAAACGTAAAAACATTATTTTCTCTCTCATAAGAAACTTGTCGTGTCGAACCGGGGAGTCGTGATTTGCCTGCGCTGCTGCAGCTGCTGCAGCTGCTGCAGCTGCTGCAGCTGCCTCAAACTAACTGAATCCAAACCGAAGCAGAAACGAAGCGGCAGACGTTCCTTTATTTAGTTTAACTGAGGATCAGTAATATTTATGAGCTCTGAAAGGCATTTCCTGGGTTTTTCCACAGCTTTTAAAAACGTGCCGATTTGGTCGTTAGCGTTTCCTTCTCAAACCAGCAGAAAACAAAAGATTAAAACTCAGGCATTAACCGCTTTTAGTCCAACCAAACATATATTACAAGTTTCTTAGCAATAACTTATCCCACACCATGCAATAAAAAAGACAAGAAACAATTAAAGATGGAAACCCAACACCCCAGATTTCCTGCAACGATCGGTAAGCAACTTGATGTCTGTTCAAATTTGGTTTTCCTTTTTACTTATCAGGGTGGCACTTGAGTTTTGATAGTTACTGTTGTTTCTTGATGAGCGGCTGAAGAAGAGGGATGATGACGATGAGGGGTGATGAAGACGACGGAACGGAGAGGAAGACGCTCAGCCGTCCACCCAGCTCTGCTCCACGATGGCCGTTACCCGCTTCTCATACTCCCTCTTGTTTTCCTGGTAGAGCTGCGCCGCCTGGCTGTTCGCCGGGCTGTTGGTTCGGCTCATCAAGCAACGACTGCAAGCAAAATACAAAAAGAAAACACTTTCATTTTATTCAAGAAATTTAAAAGAATTATTTATTCAAGTAAGATTTATTTTGTTCTTATTTTATTCAAGTATAATTTTTTAAAGTGAATTCAGTAGTCCTGAGAAGCATTTCTATTACTATCAATATAACACTTAAAAAATCTCACATTAATATTTTAATTTATTGTCCAGCAGAATTTACTATGACAGACCTAAATGTCCATAAATCTATATAAAAATACATATTTTTACAAAGATATTAAAATACTGAAATATCCTTCTTCACATTGCCACTAGGAGGCGCTAGACACAAAAATATCATTGCTAATATAAGTTGGAATCCCAGAATATTAAAAGAAAGTTGAGTGGAAGAAAAAAAAAGAAAAAAGAGGTGCAGAAGCAGCAGGAAAAGCTGTCAGCACACAGATGTATGGAGTCAGAGACACTTTTTAAAATATAATAAAGAACTTAATATTTAAATAGAAACTGAGTGAATTTGATCAAATATTTAAGCATCCGTGTGTGATGAATTTACAGTGTTTCACTTCTAATTTGCTGATTCTCTTGTATTCAGGCGGATTGTTTAAAGTTTAGTTTGCAGAAACATAAATCCGACAGACCTGGATGGACGTGAGTATGGACGACACGTCGTACGTCGGGCTCCAGCGATTCTGAAGAATGTCTAAACATATACTGCCGTCAGCGTAAACTGGAAAACAGGAAACAATAGTTCAAATTTAAGCAGGTCATTTCCAAGCAAAAAACATTGAACAGTGAAACTCATGCAGATTGAAAATACAGTAAGATTATATGACCTTTATGCTGGTCATCTCATATTTCATTTTTTCATCAAAAAAGAAGAAAATGTCATGGCTGTAAATGAAGGTGATAAATTATTTCAGCTTTAATGGATTTGAACTAAACCTTCATGTTAAAACTCAGAAATAAACTAAAACAGCAGCTTTCAAAGCAAATTATGTTGATAATTTAGTAATTTATTGATAAAAGAATTACACAACTTAAGCCATAAATAAAATGATTATAAACGGAAAAAACTAACTTTTCCTTCAGAAAACATCAGAATGAAAATGATGGAGCTCATTTTAATTTATTATGTGATTAAATGATTATCTTGATTTTTTTGAAGGGAAGAACAAAACTGTTGATGTTTATGAAAAGATTCTGGTGGAAAAGTTCATGAAACTAGTTTTTACTATGCATTTAAAGTTATTTTGCTCTAAATGTGTAGATAATCAGAAAAGGTGATGGTGTTTGTTGCTGCAGCATCCCTCACCATTTGGATGAAACATTTTGGAGACGAACCGAACCGTGGGAGGCTTGTTGGGATACTCCTCTGAAAACTCTATCAGCAGCTTAAATGTTCCTGCAGAGACAGAAAGGAAAACACAAAACTTTTACTCTGCAAGAAAGATGCATATGTGAAAACCAGAGACGCTGCTGACAGCAAAGGAAACCATGAAGGGACTATAAATACCCCTTACTGCAGCAAAAGCAGTGTATTGTGCAGGACTAGACAGGAGCAGGGAGGGACAGGCTGACAAGCGTCAACTAGAAGAGCAGAAAGAGATCCTACAATGTCAGACGCAATATTTGTCATTTTTATTCCTAAGCAGTGCCAAAGCACAGTGAATTACTCTAAATCCACATTTCCTCATAGCCAATCCAGTCTATTCACATTTTTGCATAAAGCATAGAAAGTTGCTGAAACGTCAGCAATTAAAAATGACAAAGTTCAAAAGAAAACCTCAAGAGAAGCTGCATGTTAGCAAAGCTCTACTCCAAACTTTTCCACATGGAAATGATGAGAAGTAGCGAGAGAAGGATTTCCTTTAGAACAAAATATCCATGAAATCCATAAAAACACAGGGGAAACTTTTAATGTTACTCTAATTGAAAGATAATGTCATCAATGTTCATGTTTTTCCCAAAAACAAACATTTACTTCCTGTAGCTCCCTGCAGAGCTCAAGTATTTTCCGTATAATAATGATAATTATGAAGCCTTCTTGTTCTCCAATGAAAATGCTCCAGAACTACTCAGTATTTTTATATCCAGCTCTGTTTTATGTTTACTTTTGCAGAGTCGTGTTCGCAGCTCCAGGCTGCGTTCGGCTGAAGGAGACATGCGGCTCCAGTTCAATAAAATTCTGTTTGGTAAACAAACCACTTTATGAACCCAATAAATCCAAACGTATAACTTACCATCTTCGAATGGCGTCCCAACAGGCCTGCAGCAGACAGAGAGAGAAATGTTATATTTATCAGTTCAACACCGATCTGAGGCAGAGCGTCACTTTCTATAGCAGAGAACTAGAATTAGTAGATTAGACTTGTTTGTGTCAGACTATTTTGTTATGGTAATTCATTTAGGCTATACTCTTTGTTTTCTTTGTGTCGCATTAAATCATGTCCAGGTCACCTGGACGGACCGCCAGTCTGTCGCAGGGCAACACGGAGAGACACACGCACTCGCACACCGCTCAGGAGAATTTAGAGAGACCAATTATCCTGACCGTC